TATTGTGCTCTTTTCTGTTATAGTTTCCATGGAAACAAATAGGACATTATATCCATGGGGCCATATGATATCCATCCTAGGGTTCTGAAAGAGATGTCTGATGTGGTTGCCAAGCTGCTCTCCATCATATCTGAAAAATCATGGCTGCCCGGTGAAGTCTCTGGTAACTGGAAAAAGGGAAACATTACTCCCATTTTTAAGAAAGGGAGAAAAGAAGATCTGGGGAACTATAGATTGGTGAGCCTCACCTCTGTGCTTGGGAAGATCATGGAACAGATCCTCCAAGAAGCTATGTTAAGGCACATACAAGATAAAGAGGTGATTTGAGACAGCCAGTGTGGCTTCACCAAAGGGCACATCATGCCTGATCAATCTGGTGGACTTCTATGATGGAGTGGCAGCTTTGGTAGATGGGGGAAGGGCAGTGGATGTCATCTACCTGAATTTCTGCAAGGCCTTTGACATGGTCTCTCACCACATCCTTCTCTCTAAATTGGAGAGGTGTAGATTTGAAGGATGGACTGTTTGATACATTAGAAATTGACTGGCTGGACGCAGCCAAAGAATTTTGATTACTGGTTCTGTGTCAGGGTGGAGGCAGGTCACAAGCGGTGTCCCTCAGGGGTTGGTCTTGGGACTGGTGCTCTTCAACAGCTTCATCAGTGACACAGATGATGGTATTAAGGGCACCCTCAGCAGGTTTGTGGAAGACACCAAGCTGAGCAGTGCAGTCAATACACTGGAAGGAAGAAAAGCTATCGAGAGGGACCTGGACAGGCTGGAGAAGTGAGCCCATGAAAACCTAACAAGGTTCAAGAAGACCAAGGGCAGGGTGCTGCACTTGGATTGGGGCAATCCCAGGTATTTATACAAACTGGGGGAAGATCTCCTTGGGAGCAGCCCTGTGGAGAAGGACCTGGGGGTCAAACAAGAAGCTGGACATGAGCCAGCAGTGTGCTCTTGCAGCCTGGAAGGCCAACTGTGTTCTGGGCTGCCATTTAAAAAGGGGTGGCCAGCAGGGAGAGGAAGGTGATTGTCCCCATCTACTTGGCTCTTGTGAGGCCCCATCTGGAGTACTGTGTCCAGGTCTGGGGACCCCAGCACAAGAAGGATATGGAGCTCTTGGAGCGGGTCCAGAGGAAGGCCATTAAGATGATCAGAGGGCTGGAGCACCTCTCCTATAAGGAAAGCTTGAGTGAACTGGGCTTGTTTAGTTTGGAGAAAAGACTCCAGTGAGACCTCATTGTGGTTTTCCAGTATTTGAAGGGAGTGTATAAACAGGAGGGGGAATGACTGTTTGAGGGTGGATAGTGATAGGACAAGGAAGAATGGTTTTAAACTGAGACAGGGGAGGTTTAGGTTAGATATTAGGATGATTTTTACACAGAGGATAGTGATACACTGGAACAGGTTGACAAAGGAGGTTGAGGATACCCCCTTCCTGAAGGCATTCAAGGCCAGGCTAGATGTGTCTCTGGGCAGCCTGTTCTGGTGGTTGGCGACCCTGCACGTAGCAGGAGGTTTGAAACTAGATGATCACTGTGGTCCTTTTCAACCGAAGCCATTCTATGTTCAGAGCAACCTATATATAAATATCCCTCTGTTGCTTTCTGAATATATACCCTTCTGTTTTAGGAGACTTCAGTGTAGTCAGTTCTCGGCCTTCTTTCCAAAAGATGGCTTCATACAAATACATTATTTTTTAAGAGCTTTCCAGTACATTTTGATTGGTCTCTGCCTCATGTTCTGCCCTTAGTAACATTGCCTATGATATAAGAAGTTAGCAAGAGATATGAGAGACACATTCTGTAAAGCAACTACATGGAATTCTTCTTAATATTACAATATTGCACTTTCCTTTCGCCCTCACTTTTATACCATGAAAACTTACTCTGAGCTGCTCATATAGATGTTTGAGTGAAGGAGAAAAATGGACTGCTGACTGTAGTAAGGTCTTTCAGTGATTGACATGATTTCTAATGTCAAATTTTTGCAAGTTTTTTTGTTGCTCAGAGGATCAATTCCAGTATGAGTTTTTGAGTTGAAACAATGGAGTTGATACAGTTAAATGAATGCAAAAGCTCTGCAATAGAGAACAGGCTCAGTATTAGGGCTGAGCTGGAAAGCAGTTAACTGCACACTATTATCTACATACCCTCAATTAGGTAAGTGTAGTGGAATTCCAAGGTCACAGCCTGAACCAATACATGAACATGTGACTGCCTGGAGCTGGGAGGTGTGTGCAATCTGAGTTTGCACACACCTTCCCCCTGCCCTCTCCTGCTGTGGTGCGAGTCTCAACAGGAGGAGGCTGCATTCGTCAACGCCCCTTTTTCCAAACTCTTAAAGGGAGGGGTGAGTTAATTTCTCTTTAACATCTTTTCTTATAGTACCTGTTTCTCCAATAAAGGCTCTGTCATTGTCTTCGTTTGCTCTGCAGCAAGTTAAGACATTTCACTGCATTGTCATAAGTTCTTGTTGCCATATGGGATCCACCGAGGAAGCAGGCAGAACTGACTTCCAAGCTACTTTCCATCATCTATCAGTAGTCCTGGTTAATCGAGGAGGTCTCAGACAACTGAGAACTTGTTAATATGACACCCATTGACAAGAAGAATAAGAGGGAGAATCTGGAGAGCTATAAGCCCGTCAACCTGACCTGAATACATAGAGCAGATTGTCTTGAGTTCAATCACATGGCACGGGTAGGACAACCAGGGGATCCAGTCCAGCCAACATGAGTTCCTGAAAGTCAGGTTCTGCTTGACCAACCTGATCTCCATCTATGACCAAGTGACACAACTAATGGATAAGTGTAAGGCTGGAAGCATATGTCTTACGAAGAGCAGCAAGGGCAATGGGATATTTTAATCTGTAGAAGAGGATGATCAGGAGAGACTTTATTGCTCTCTAAAGCTGCCTGAAAGGAGGTTGTGGCGAGGACGAGAGTTTCTTGAGTTGTGCAAGGGAGGTTCAGGTTGGATATTAGGAGAAATTTCTTATCAGAAATAGTAGTAAAGCATTGGAAGTGTCTGCTCAGGAGTCACCAACCCTGGAGATTTTCAAGAAAATTATAGATGTGGCTCTGAGGGACATGGTTGAGTAGGCATGGTTGTGATGGGTTGGTGCTTGGACTAGATGGTCTTGGAAGTCTTTTCTAGCCTTAATGATTCTGTGAATCTCCGAGTCTAACTTTGGATCTGAGCAGTACAGATAGTTTTCATGTCTATCTCTAGGTCACATTTGAAACATGCACTCCAATGAGGAGTATTAATTTGCAGATTATTTTATCTGTATCACATTTTTTAATATGATAGCTGCAAAGCACAAATCTCAGGAAGGGAAGGAAGAAGCTAGCTAACCAGAAGCATAGGACTGAAGAGGTAATAGAGATCTTCCATGACTTAGAATATGCCTTAAATGAGTGTAAATAGTGGAAATTTCATTTTAATCTCCTTTCTATTTATCTCTGTCTATCTCTGGACATTTGTCTCCTCCTCCTAAAAAGAAAATATGTATGATTGTATTAGGATTGAAAAGCCTCAAAGAACTGTAAGACCTTGGAAAAATCTATGATTACAAGATGAGGCTACAGGACATTGAATAAGTTTCATAAGTTGAAAAATGGGTGGAACAGTTTAGCAGACTTAGAAGTCATCCCCTATCATCCAGGAAAAGTTCAGGCTTCTCATAATCGAATCGGATTAATATTTGTTGAATGCCCTTATATCTGAAGTGATAAAAAGTATTGAATAAGCATTTGTTTGATTTAATAAGTAACTCATGAATGGATTATAACAGTTGAGATTCTGTTCCATCATTAGTATCCGTTTTACAGATTTGAGCCTAGTATTTAATATTATTGCTAGTGTGCTAATGTGTATTCTAAATGTGTTAATCAGGAGAAATATTCAAGATGACAAAGAAAAGTGACATTTTGAAAGCCAAAATATGCAGTTAAAATCTGAAGTGTAGTTGTGTAGGGTGAGTTTGTAGATATTTTTTTTCTAGCTAAGCAGCAGAAAAGAGCTCTTAGGATTCATAGGTCCTGCTTTATTCTTATCACTAAACCACTGTATGTTAAACATATCATGAAGCACATGATTTCTGGTTCTTTTGAACAAAAAAAATGGTAATCAGTTTCAAGTTTAAAATGGAAGATATTTTTATGAATCCCTTCCCACATGTTTCTGCAGCTCACTTGCTACTTATTAACCAGATTGAAAAGCTGATGTTTTGTAGAATTCAGTATTTCTAAAGTGTTCAGTGATCTTAACAACTGTGGAAGAAATGAGAGAAAAATAAATATTATTAAATAAAAGGTGTTAATATGTTTATTTATGGTATATTATTACAAGTGCTAGTACATTGAATAATCTGTATTTCAGAGTTATCAGGAAAAGTTAAAATAGACAGTATAAATTAATTCCAATAATCAGGGTATTTTAAGCTTTGGATTTTTTATTAGCAGCTTTTAAATAATCACATCGTATGACTTAGTTTTATTGTATCATACAGAAAATAAGAAATAAACTTAAAATGTACATGGATGACAAAAACATTATTCATTGACTAACTTCATGTATGTATATATGAAAAGAAGGTATGCATATATCTCTCTCCAGAAAAAAAAAAAAATATTCTATTATTCTCTTCAGAAAAAACATTATTCTATTATATTTTTATTTATGTATGTATTTACTTGGAATACAAAAATATCAGACACTGAAAAATAATTTAATTGTCCTGTGTTTGTAGTATGGGTAATAGCTTTGCTAAATAGTATCTTAACAAGGATGGCATGGAAAATTTTGCTATTTCACTACCATTTAGTGATACTGACATGACCTGATGTAATGTAGATTAACTGCTTTCTTGTAGTTGCATTAAATACATTAGATGCATTAAATTTTCTCATTACATTGATAATAAGTTAGCTTACACATATCTTTCTTTTAATGCTTTCTCTCTCTTTTTTTCCCCTTTCCTTTTTTGTAAAGCTGCTTAAGGAGATAGCTAGGAAACGCAGAAGCATTCGTTTTGGGAGGGAAGCTGAATTAAAGCCGTATATTGCAGCTCACTTTGAAGTTCTTCCTACGGAGTTCACACTAGGGGATAAGAAGCATTATGGTGGCTTTGAGAATAAACAACTGCAAACTGGTCAAGAATATGTCTTCTTTGTGTTGGCTGTAATGGAGCACTCAGAATCTGTAAGTTAATAACTGATTTCAGTCCCAGAATTACCTTCCCCAATCAGTAACACATTTCTTCAGTGCTTACTTGAGCTTTTAAGGTATATGTCTAAAGTTAATGTTTATGTGCTGATTTCCATTTGAGTCTTTGAATTTAATAATGCTATATGCACCTTGGTGTGTTACTTCAGTGTGTAAGCAAAAGCTAAGGATCACCTTTTATTAGCTGTGCTTTAATCCTTTCCAAATTAAATGTTCTGCTGTTTGAGTTTACTGGCGCTACTTCTGAGGCATGAACTTTACAGCTGTATCTTTTTCAATGTCTTTGAGAAAGAGTTCCTTAGCTGACCTAGGACTACAATTGAATAGTGTTATTGGATATGTAGAATTCTTTGAAAGATAAGTTGAACTGGAAACACGCACAGCTACTGTTTTTAATTACAGTAATTTCCTAACAGCTTTATCAGTGAATTGCTAGAAAGTAAGAAAATAATTCAAGGAAAAATTCTGAGGAGAGCTGAATAATGAGCTGTCACTTCTCTTCATGTAATTTGTTTTGTACTTATTTCCATTTATGCTTGAGTTAATAGGTGTGTAACTTATGGCAAAATAGAGAGAAGAGAGGAAGAGAGAGGGGAGAGGAGAAGGGAGTGGAAGAGAGATGGGAGAGGAGAAGGGAGAGAAAGGGAGGAAGAAAATGCAAGGAGGAGAAATACATGGAGAGAGCAGAAGGAGACAGAAAAAAAAAAAAAAAAACAGAACTGTTTCAATACTTGTTAAGATTTTAGCATACAGTGTGTAATGTAGTCTCTTTCTAATTAGTTTCTATATCTGACGTATATTTTCTGGCTCAGTCTCTTGAACTACCATGCTAGTAATCTGAATTCTAGTCAAATGCTTCCAGTGTGCAATTTGATGTTGACTTTACCAAATTGTACACTATGAAGAAGTTGTTGCAATTTGTATACTTTTGGATACATCGCTTTATTTGAAGATAAAATAAGTATCCCCTGGAAGTTCTGATGTAAATCAAAGGTTTTCCTTTCTCTTTTTGACAGAGATTGTTAGACAGAAAATTCTTATGATGCTGCATCAAGAAGGTTCTAAACAGAGTTACTATGCAGTTTTTTTCTGTGAGGTTTAAAATCCAGTTTAAATATTGGAGAATCACCAATAAATGCTCAAACTGCAGCCCCTCTGAAGCCTTTTTCTGCCTGCTCCAAATGCAGAGGCTAAATACAAAGTATTTCTTACTGTAGCAATATAGGGTGTGGGTTTTGTTGTTGTTGTTTGTTTTTGGTTGTTGTTGTTGTTGTTTTCTGTTTTTGTTTGCTTGTTTGTTTATTTTTTGTATGCTTTGAGAACACTGAGGCAGTGAAAATGTCTCAACCAGCTCAGCTGTTGAGGGAATGAAACAATCAGATTCCCTAGTTTCTGGAAAGAGATCACAGACCTGTGATGTCTGGTGTCACTTTTGGCAAAAGAGAATAAATGAACATTGTTGTCATGTTTACCAGCTAGCTTAAATGTCTCTGCTTTGCTGGTGTTAGCCATCTCTTACCTTGAACTCAGATGCTCTTCTAGCTGTTGTAGCAGGAAACAAGGCCAAATGAAAGGTAAAATATATCTCTTTTCATAACACCTTGTGTACCTTTCAGAATACTGCTGCAGAATGTTATGTGAAGGACTATGTTGTTACCTCATTTTTTAGTAGACCATATGTAAAGTACAAAATAAAGATATAATAACAACACAGCATTCAGATTTCAAGTTCATGAACTTGCCTAGCTTGAATAGAAATAGCAGCTTTTCATTGCTCAGTTCATTGCATTACTACTTTGTGTATGTTTATTTTAGATCTGGGCTAGTATTTTAAATGAATGCCTTTATTGTTAAGAAGGATTTATTTATTTGTATAGACTATGTATGCAACCAGTCCATATTCTGATCCAGTTGTGTCCATGGATCTCGATCCCCAACCAATTACAGATGAGGAAGAAGGCTTGATCTGGGTTGTAGGACCAGTTCTTGCAGTGGTATTTATCATCTGTATTGTTATAGCGATACTTCTTTATAAAAGGTAAGTTTACCTTTTAGTTTTCTTACCATGTGTGTACCTTTCTGCTGTGTTATTTTATTGTAGCATTCCACACTACATTATTTGTTCTACAATTGTAACTGTCATTATGTCAAGATATAACTATATTTATTAATGGATCCCAGAACACTGCAGATATTTTAGATTTCTGATTGAGAGTTTCTAGTCATTACAGCTATGTGAGTACATTTTTTTTCTGCTGATGAAACATTATTGCCATTTCTGCATTTAAATTTTACTTCAATTTTGCACGTTTGTAAAGAAAATATGTTCTCGTGTATAAATAGATACAGATTCACACATTTGACTTTTTAAAACATAATTTTAGAAGTGTGATAGTAATCCATTAGGGGTTACATTCAGGATGATGTTAAGTATGATTTTCATCTCCACTCAAGTAATTTGAATTTTCACTTCTGACAGTTGACCTTAATTTGGCAGTACATGTTATGAATTTGAATCTCTGAACTAAGAGATTAAAGAAACATCAATAGCTGTTGTCTACTAGTCCTACAGTCAGATCAAACTTCACTTCTTCCACTGTGCATAACACAGGTGTAGTTTGCTATTACTCAAAGGACTTTCTTTGAGCTTAGAATTTACTACATGAAAACTGTATGATACCTTCATTTATACTTAGCAGTCTTTTACAGTGTGAGTTCAAACAGATCAAGATAGTAACTCAAAAGGACAGAGTAGATTTTAATATTTATATATTGTTGCTAGTACATTTTTAAAAAATATTGATAGGGTGGAGTTTGGGAAATACTAAAAAGATGTTGTAACCTTTCATGGGTGGTGAGGTGCACGGGGGATAATTTCCATAGGTGTAATAAGTCTCCTAAATTTAATGGTTATGATACCTAAAACAAATGGCTTCCTGTAAATATTTAAATTCTGCTAACATGTATGGTTTTCCGATCTAAGCGTATCTTGTCAAATGTTCTGTATTTGCATATAGAGTGCTGGCTTCAGGTTTTCAAAGGGAAAATTCTCTGTTAAACATTAAATAAACAAACGAATTAAAAAACAGTCCAGTGGCAAAAATTCCTTTTTTTGTTAGAAGATCTTTTAGGTTTTATTAATGAAGACAATCATGTGACATGAAATTCTGAAGTAACATGTAAGGAGAACATAGTGACATGCTAACAAATCCGAATTACTTCATTTAGCAGAAGGAATAGATAGAGTAAATAAGAACATAGATTTTTTTTAAGTGTATCTGTAAAATCTATATCAGTTTTGCAGGGAGACAGGTTGAGTGGCATGCAGTAATGTTTCAGTGCAGGAATAGCACTTCACAGTGGAGATTTAGCATTTGATCTAGAGAAGATAGCCTCATGAAAATAATTAAAGATTTTTTTTTTTTTTAATTGAATAAATGACAGAATAGGCATAACATTTGAAGTTTTCATTAGATTAAACAAGAAATATTTTATTTTTAAGTACAGCTGAGTCTTTATAATGTTTCAGTATAACAAGATATATGAATCATTAAGCTGAAAACAATATTAAAGGATATTAAACTGGTAGATTATTGTTTTTTTTTTTAATTCATATCAGCTTCTTCTGATGTTAAAATATGTAGCAAGATATTTCTTATTAGGCTTTATAAAAATCAACACATTTTAACTTTTTTTTCTTTCTTTTTTCAAAATAAATAAATAATTTATGGAAAGGGAGAATGACCAGAGTCCAGTGTAATAAGCATAAGGAATAGAAAGGAAAACAAATGACAATAGATCTAATTGATTAAGTTGTCTGAAAAATATTTAAAGAGGTATGGTACTGTGAAGAAGATAATGTCTTTTGAAGTGCAAAAAGTTGTAACTAAAATAATAGTGAATTGTGTTTAATTCCCTTTGCCTGTAGAAACCATTCTGAAAAGACTTGGAACTATTTTGTGATTTTCAATATTGCTTTCTCATTTTAATTTCAGTCAGAGATTAATGCTGACTGAAATTTTTAGAAGAGTCATTTTAAGGGGAAAGTCTTGCATTCATTTAAAGCAAATGGTATCTCACATGGTGTGGATAATTTGCCTACTTACTGTGAAGCAAATTTTAGATGCCCAAAGACTAGGAGTGCATGAATGAAGTCTTTATTATTTATTTGTCAAAAATTTGTTTGTAAAAAAGTTACTTCTGCATTTACATTTCTTCAAAGCTCAAAGAAAAGATATTCCTTAGAATAATTGCTTAGAAAAAAAAAAAAAAAAAAAAAAAAAAAAGCTTTTTATCAAGTTGTCATCTAATTTCCTGTCTTTCTGGAGTTGATATACCTGCAAATTGAACTGGCTTGGCCAGAGAAAAGCTGATTATTCTCTGGCATTGTAAGAATTGTACAATGGTCTTAGGTGAGAAAATTATTTGAGGGTGTGTTTAATCTGTTAACCTTACATCTAAGCAATCAGATTTAAGAATCTGTGTAAACTAACTAATCATTTTCCTTTTGGTAATATTGTTGCCCTCAAGAAAATATGTGTTTTTTTTTTTTTGCTGGTTCAAACATGGAGTAAAAATACAAAATAATAAGGTTTATATACAAAATCTCGAACAAAAGAAAACACTTAATTGATGTACATGTATAGATGGTGTAGACTAAGTTGTCTAGAAGCAATACATTCCTGTTACGAGGACTGTTATTTGAGATGAAGTATCCCAATCTCATTTTGATAAAGCACTACACTGCTGCACCATAGAGCTTAGGCAATCATACAGTAAGTCCCTTCTTCTGAATATGTGACTCCAGTTTCTTCAAATCTGAAAAAGAAATCTGAAAAAGAGTGTAATGCTTCACAGGATAAATGTTTATGATTACCTTCCTTTTCAAGGTATCATTAAAATATTTTCTTGTTATTTTATTATTTGTGTTGGTGAAGTGGTTTTAAAGATTTTGTTTTCCTCCTTTTTTTTTTTTTTTTTTTACTCTAGTATGAGATAATCTTATGTATTTAACCTTGTTTGTTCCTTTCCTTTCTCTCCTTCTTCCTTCTACTCCTTCTTTTTCTCCCATATCCTCCACCAACCTGTTTTCTCCTTTCCCTCCTCCCTCCTCTCGTTTCTCTATTCTCTTTAAGAAAAAAGAATGATGTGTTAGTGACACTTCATTTATCTATGTAATATTTATTTATTTATTTATTTATTAGAGCTTGAATTAAACATCCATTCTCCAGTATTTCAAAATTCAGTGTGCAATTACTTTGCAAACAATGTCTAAACCACAGTTGTTTTTGTTTTTTTGGATTTTTTTGTTTTTTCAACAAAAGATTCTCTTTTGATTTCACCTGCATCTTCTATTTATTCTCTGATTCCCAAACTGTCACCTCATTTTTTGATTTAGTTATATGACTTTACTGTGTGTGAAAATTTCTTGTACTTCCTGTTGCTGTGTTTAAGCTGTTTGCTGATGATAAACCAACATTTAGCCTTTTCTCTCCTCTTTGCTGCATTGAAATGGAGTAGTAAACCTGACAGGTGAGAACTGAACAATAATTACCCTTCATTTAGCCTATAAATGAGGTAGCTGAAAAGAGAGAGAAAGGGGAGAAAAGTTATCATAATAATGATGTAAAAAAGAGTGTCTGTCAGTCTTAATGAATATAGACAGTAGCGTATTAATATGAAGGCAGCTGCAAGATATTTTACATTTTTACAACAGTTAGCATATTTGCTAACACTCACCACTATTTGGTTATTGTTGTTGTGGGTTTTTGTTTTGTTTTTTTTTTTTTTTTTTTGTCTACATCAGGTATATTTTAATGAAATAGCACAGTTGCATAATGTACATTTGCTTTTATTTGTGTTTTCATTAAATTGAAACAGTGTTCTTATATGTAACAGCAGCTTCTGAATGAATGTGTTTTTGTAGTTGAAGTGTGAGTTGTCCTAGTACTCCTTATACATAGATTAGGTGCTGATATGCCTGTACCAGTGAAAATGGTGCTGTGAGAGAATTTGTCCTGATTGGACTTTTTTCCAACTGAAACAGTTATTATCTCTTTCTATAATCTGATAAGATACAAAAGATAGAAGGTTCCTAAGTGTACGGTTGTTGAAAACACTCATGTATCTGATCAGAAGAAATTCTAGTGCTTCTCATACATGAATGAGAAATTGTGCTGCCTAGAACTCACTTGTAAATGGAAGGTAATGAAGGCTGTCTCTGGACAGTTCCACTGATCCCTAGACTTCAGAAGTAGGAAATAAAGGTAAAAATACTCCTCGAAAATGGAAAGTAGCCTTTCTTCATCTTTATTCAAAAAGAAAAAGATAGAAAGAAAAAAAAAAAAACCACCAAAAAATACAATAGAGCATTCTGCTGCTTTATGATAGTCAGGATGAGAACTAAGTTTTTTTGAATCATATTTAAAGCTGTTTTTTTTTTTTTTTTTTTTTTTTTATATATATATATAAGAGAAGTTAATACAAGTGTTAAGGTTTTATATTTTTTTAGTAAGAAAACTTTTTTTCATAAAATTATACAACTTTCAAACAACAGATGGCAAGAGTTTCTTCAGCAATATTGGTTGTTTGCACAGTCTTGTTGGAAGAAATCTTGTTGGATCCACTTTTCCCAGGATGGCAATGGGTGTTAATTATTTCAAGACAAGGATAAATCAATTGGAGCATTTTTAAGAGTGGAGTCCAGTAGAATAATAACAGATTTAGCATTGCCACATTGTGAGAGAGTTGGAAAACAGAAAGCAAAAAAAGTAGAGTGGTGATGCATTAGACCAAATGCTAGAAAAGATTTAGGTATAGAAAACCTTAGAATCATCTAAGTTCTGTTTTCAGAAAAGCAGTTATTTGTTGCTATTTCTATATTCATTTTATATTTCATGAAGAATTTCAGCCAATTTGCTTTTTCATTCAGAAATTCAGAGGATTAGGGAAGAAGGGATTGCACTAGAAATTCATCATTAAATTTCCACATTCCCGAGTGAAAATGCAAACAATTAGATATTCTTTATGAAATACAGTTCTCTATATTTTGCAGCAGAAAATAATACCCTCAAGTGACAGTAGTCCATTTTACCTAAACGATCAGAGTCAGAACAGCTATGGATGCTACTTCTCTCTAGATAAATGGAAGCATAGATGTTTCTTTTTTCCTTCTTTTTTTCCCTGATTGTTTCAGAAAGATTGAAAAGAATACTAAAATTTTTGAAAGTCCTAACTTGATCAGAAACATTCAGGAAGAATCTCAACCTTGAATAAGTATATGTGATCAGATACATGAAGTCAAATGCAGCTCAATAGAGCAGATTCTTACTTCCTAGAACAGGAAAGGACCAGGTGTCTTCTGTATTTATTCTCTGTCATCTTGAAAGTGCCATAAGAATGCAGATTATCTTATAGGCAGTACAGAGATGAAGTATTCAGTGATAGTAAATTTTTAATTACATGCTGAAGACAAAGTAACCTTTTAATAAAGATGCAACAGATTAGGTTTTAAAATAGATGCATTGTGAAATCTTTTATGTTTAGTGATATGTCTCATAATAGATAATTATTCTGGTGCCCTGGATGACAATCTAGAGGAGGTTTAGGGCAGAGTACCCCAAACATTCCCCTTTAACATCTTTATATTTAAATTTGTTTTGCCATTGCAAACTGTAGTTGCCCTGCCCACTGTGCAAAATTATTTTATCTTTGCATGGATCAAAAACTTTCAGAATACATCTCACGTTTTATAATTTAATGATTAAAGACTCAGACACTTGTATTTGTCTACTTAACACCTCATTCTTATATACATTTTTTCACTTTCTCCATGCAGGAAGAGAGCCGAATCTGATTCTAGAAAGAGCAGCATACCCAACAGCAAGGAAGTCCCTTCTCACCATCCTACAGACCCTGTGGAGCTGCGACGCCTTAATTTTCAAACTCCAGGTGAGAGGTAGTAATATGTCACTGAGAGCCCTGTGTTCACAGACTCTGATTAGTTACATTATTACAAAACAGAATTATTATTTAAAATATGTGTATTTTGACTGCTAATAAGCTTTCTTCCATGTATTTCTCTGATTGGTTTGGAGATTGTTCTTTAATTTCTATATTTAAAGAAAAAGCCTAAATTATACAGTTATTGGTCTGTAGAAAAGATTCAGAGGTCATGTTGTGTGGGTGTACTGAAATTACAAGGTAAACCTAAGTGCATTAGAAAATTATTAGTAAATGCACATCTCTTTGTTTATTAACTATGTGGTTATATAATTGTTTGTATATATGTTGTTTTTTTTTTGTTTTTGTTTTGTAAATAAGCTTCCCTCTTATCTGTTGCATTATCAAGTAATCCATCAATATCCCTTAAATTTTTTTGTACACTGTAAATATAAAATACGGATAAGACAGATTATCTAGAGAAATGGTCTTTTCTTTTAAAATCAAGCTATGTTAGGATGGATCAAAAAGTGAAATAACATGACAGCAATTCTGAAAGGTAGAAGTAACACATTCAAATATTTTATTAGCCATTTATATTTATATTTATTAAGCATTGTTTTTCTAAACACTTTGGTTTAGTAGTCAAGAAACACAAGAGAAATACTTAAAATAGTATTTAATTTTTATTAATGTTTTATGATAGATATTTTGTTTTCAAAATTATGTTAATTTTTATTATGTTGTATTCCAGCAGATTTCTATTAGCAATATGATTGCACACAGTCATGATCTGTTGCTAATTACTTACAGAACTTTCCTGAGAATTATGTTTGTCAGAACAGTGAAACTGGGACTAAAGACCCAACATCCACAGTGCAAGCGTAAGGAAGAGATAGAAAACTAAGTATTCTGAGGCTTGCCTTAGCTTTTTCTTAATTTGTTCCAGTATAGTGAATGTACGTGAATGCTCTTTAGTAGCAGTGGCACCTCATTGACCGAAAAAGAACTGGAGAGAGGTATACTTTTCCTTGTAGCGCTCTAGTTTATTTGGGAAGCTAGCAGTTTTCTGTGAAGCTAGCTAAGCGGAACAACTGCAGTCCATTTCTCTTAGGAGATCTCTTTCTTTGCTCTAAATCTTTTTTTTTTTTTTTTTTTTTTTTTTTT